CGGGGGACGCCGCGCCGGGCTGCACCGCCCGCGCCTCGGGAAGAGCCGGGCCAAGCGTTCTCAGCCATCACGGCTATTCGTCCACAAATAGCTCGTCCATCCGTCATCTTTGAGCGCAGTCTATATATATGAAATATATGAAAGCTAATACAAGTGGGCTTAAATTCCCTGCAGGCACACAGTTCCAGCAGGGTTATAATTACAGCTTCTTGCAAACCTGCTTTATGCTCATGCTCTGAGGCAACCAATTGGCACTGAATTGCATATCTATTATTGCCCAGAGAAGCGTGCCTATGGTCAGGGGACACGTGACCATGCTTGCAAAAACTTGGACCAAATTCAATCCTCTAATATAAATATTCTCGTTACTAAGTCCAGGTCCATAGCAATATCCTCAGAAGAATACAGAAACCTGATATGAAATACACAGCGGCAGAGCAGGAGTGTGTCAAGAACAGAAGTGTTTCTGTTTATTTAGAAAGCATTAAGACTTTAATTGAAAAATCATTGAAGTTTTCATAGCATCCTCTTGTTTTGATATATGTATACATCACTTGACACAAGTGACACACTGCGACACTTTGCCTTCCTGGATCCTGTTTCTTAGGGTCGTTTGGTTTTAAAGAACTTGAATAGTAAAAATATTGCTCAGTCTTTCACTTGGGTTTTCTGTCAAATTAATTACAGGGTACTCTTCCCCCTAGGGGAAAACTGAAGTTATAAAATGCCACAGCTGCTGCTGTCAAACATAGTATTATATGCTAAATGAGGCTAACTTGAATCCAACATAAAATAGGCTATTTAAAGTGATCCTGTAATTTACTATGGTATAGTTAATTTATAATACCATATTTTAATAATGAAAACTGCATTTTAAAACTGCAATTGTTTGGCTGGGGAGAATTCTTCATCAGCAGGTACCTATTTCAGTACTGATTTGCAGAAAAAAGACTCTACAACTCAAATAGAGTTATACAGCAGGTATGTTTACTCTGGCACTGGGGTGCAAGGGAATCTCTCCACAATGCTTGCACACCCACCGCACATTTTACCAAAAACTCATAGAGTGCGGATATCCATATTCATTGGGTTACTTAACACAAACATACATATGCATGAGTAGGGCTGGGTTAGTTAGAAAGCATGGTGTCAGCAGTTTATGTCATCTTTGCACGTGCGCGTTGCCTCCTGGTGGTCTTCGGGGGTCTTTGGGAGGAATGCTCGTAGTCTTTCTCACCTTGTTTTTTCCCCGGAGCATGGGCAGATTCTCTTGGCCAATTTCTTGAATAACAAGAGTCTTTTTCAGACGGTTTACTTTCTCTCTTATCTAAGAGAACCAAGAGAACTTCTACCATTCGTATATGGCTACCTTTACTCATTACCAAAATTCCAGCTAGTTAGAGCCACCTGTTACTCAAGGACAAAACCATACTATTTTGCTGAACATTGTAATCCTTGGTAGATTTTCACAGTGAACTGCTTTGTTTTGATGGACACAGTAGTCCTTGTTAAAATTCCACAGAACAGTCTGGGCAAGCAGGATTCTTAGCAATATTTTTAAAAATACTATAAGTAATACTATAACTTGCTATAAGTAAGTAAATAAATCTCAAAACAAGTAATCATTTCTCTGTATCAGTACCCGTTTCAGCTCCAAGGAATGTACAGATACAAGTTTTGTCCCTAAAATGCGTACATATTTTTGAAGCCATTCCCTATTCTTGTATATGTACGGAACACTCAAGTAAACAAAGTCTTTGTATTAAATATGAATGCAGTTGTTGTTTTCAGCCCATTTCTGGACAAGTGTTTTCCGAGAAGCTCTTGCACTTGCTGCTATGCAATGCACCTCTCCCTGATACCAGTCAGCCTGGCTGCCGCTCTCATGGAAGTGAAAGCAGCAGGGCTGTAGAAGTATTTCTGAATTTTCCTGCGCTGTGCTAAGCGAGTTAGAAAGATGGCTGCAGAAAGGCATCGCATAACTATTCTTACTTTCACTTACTGTATTTTAAGCACTTTCCTGCACGTATTTTACTCAATAGACATTTGTGTCAAACCAAAGCATATAGATGCAACTACATTTGTAAAAATATAGATATTAGAGCAAATTTTTTTGCATTCCAGAAGGAAAATTCCTGCATTTTCCTGTATGTACCAAGCAACATACCAAAGAAAACAAACACCCCTGACAGGAGCAGAGACAAGAAACCCATAGATACTTAGTAGCATAGTAAATCATTAGTTTTAGCAGTTTATTCCGGCCTCAGAAACCTTTTAAATACATTTTTCTGCAACTTTTATTTTCCATAAAATAATCTGTGAAGACACCCTAATCATTTTTCCTTCCCAGTTCACTGCCTCTTTTCACCACTTATCAAATACCTCATTGCTAGAACGTTGAATGCTACTCAGAGTAGTAGCTGTACTAACCTTTACCCTGAGCTCTGGAAAGTCAGCTCCAACAAAATTAACCCCCATCTCACATACACCCACACATAAACACTTAGATGAGACACAAGAGGGGTTTGTGTTGCTAAGGCTCTCCAACTTCTTGTAGAAACCAGTTGTTCTCATATGTAAGACTGTTTGTTTTGTTTTTAAAAGAAGGGGAAAGGAGAGAAAGGAGGGCCTTGTCCTGAAGAGTTACTGCCTGTTGGGACTTCTCTCCATGCAGGCTGAAACTCCCCACGTCACCGGGAGCCTTCCCCTGAAAGGGATCGTAGCTGACTTGGATTTGAACAACATAACCACTGGGAACTATTAGGAGCTGTTGTCGCATTCTCCACAACACAGTGTAACCCATGGCACGCAGCCATGCTGAAGAAGGCAGCTCAGTGAGTTTCTATTCCCCTACTGGTGGCTGTTCCAGCTTCTTTTGCAGATTGAGACATAAATTTAAGTTTCACTTTCTGGTTCTCGCTCAGTTACTCACAGATCACGTGAGGGCTGAAGCAGATATAGGGGAAGTCATAACAACAGCGAGCAGCACTCCTTTGGCTTTGAAGCTACCTTAAGACGAGTGAGCAGAGAAGGAAAAACATGAGGTATGTGAGCAACCCAGTCTCTGAAAGATGCTTTTTTTGCTATGCCACAGGGAAAATAATGCTTATTATTTACATAAATGTAAGTAGTGAGGGGCTTTGGGGATCCAACCAGCAGAAAATATTTTACAGAGTATTTACTGGAAGAATCAAAATAATAAGGATTCTATTGAATATTGTAATGTTATTGCTTCTCCACCAAGGGCCAGTGTCTGAACAGAACTGACAGTCAGAAAACTGTATGCTTGCAGTTCAGGGATGAAATCCAGGCTGCAGCTGTAGCTGGTGCCTGGCCAAATGCGTGACTGGCACTGATGCATTTGAGAACTTACTTTCTGATCTCTGCCACTGTGATGACCAGCAAACAGCAGTGCACATTCTGCGATGCAGCTTGGAGCATAAGAGGGGTGTTAACATTTTCTGAGGACTGTCACACATACACAGCAGCACACACACACATGCATACCCACACACTCAACTAGGGCAAAGCCAAGGTATTTATGATAACTTTAGAAACTGCATTTACCAATTACGTGTTGAACTAAGCTAAATTGTTTAATCTGCATCACAAGTCTGGGTTTGTGACATTTATGAATATTCATTTTCCACAAATGCCTTTTAATGAATTACTCTCCACTCTAGTTTTCAACCACAGATGTTTTCATGGTTCTCAGCTGAGGAAATAAAAAACAACACATTTCATCTTGAATTGAATGGGACTACTTAAATGCTTCAAGCTATCCCTGCAATATTTTTGTGATTTGGGAGCCAATATCTGTTCTTCTGTGGCATTCACCTGTAGCCAAATGTTTCTAACAAGATAGTGATGATAACAGGAACTGATTTTCACTTCCTCTTCACCCCAAAGGGCAGTAATTACCTAACATAGCCTTCTAATTAGGAAACGTTGTTAATACCAATTAAAAATATCAGTTAGACAGAAGAGAATATTTGAGAAAGGCAAAATCATCAGTAACAAAACTTATGCACTAACGGCATTTGTAAATACCTTTTTTGCCTGATCTTCCTCCAGTACTTGTGTCAGATGGTTTGGGTCGAAACTTGTATTCGGTGTCATTCTCCCCAGTGTCCTTCCCACTGTCCCAGAACCTGTAAGAATTGTTTCCCAATTTCTGTTTGATTTGCCTCCTTGTAACTTCCCAGTCTTTCCACTCACACCTCTTTTTTTTTTTTTTTTTTTTTTTTTTCCATTTTGCAGTTGAGCAGCAGCAGCACACATTATACCACACAGGCTGTTAGACCCTCTAGGTTTTATAGGAGGAAGAGCAGAGAAGTCTTTTTAACAAAGAAGGATTTGACTGAGAATCCTTGGTTATAAAGTCGTGTATAATTTCTTCTTTAAGGGAGGACATAATGTAGACTAAAGCCTTAGTTTGTCCTTGATAGGTTGCCTGCACACACACACACACACACACAGGGGTACAGACAGGCCATGGCAGGAGAACAAACCCAAATAACACCCTTCCCTGGCTGGTCCCAGCCCCGTTCCAAGAGCCGTTGGTTCATCCCCACGCACACAGAGGAGCACAGAGGCACAAGGGCAGGTGTGGGGACACAAGCCCCAACCTGCCCTCCCAGGGCTGCCCCAGGGAACCCTCAGCCCCATGTGCTGGGGGGACACCCAGCACCAGGGGTCCACAGGAGTGCCTTACAGTCTGAACAAGCTGGGAATATGGGACACATTATATGACAGGGAAAAGCATTTGGGGATTGTGCAAGACTTGTTATGGGATGTTTGAGGAGGGAACCAAAGGCAGGGAAATGAGGGATCTGGGTGATTCTGATCTGACAAATGCTGAAGAATAGAGAGGGATAAAGGAGTATTAAGGACCACTTGTATTTAAACAGGCTCTTGGTCAGTATGCTTGTGATGTATATCTGTCTGTACGGGTGAGGCACCTGAGTAGAGAGAGCATCCCTGATCAGCTACTAGATCTCTAAAGCCAGCTTCTAGGGATCCATAGGGTTAGTGAGTGTGTGTGTGGTCTGTACCAGCAAGTGGAGTGGGGTTACACTCTCAGGAGGCTGTACACCCAGGTGCCAGCAACTGGGGAGAATGGTAGGATCTGGGAGCCAGCTACTGGATACATCAGCATAATCACAACATAAAAATGTTGCAGTGATCTAACAGACAAACATTTACAAATGCAGGAAATCAAAAATTATATTTATAATCCAAACCATAAAATATACAGACACGGGAAAGGCACTGTATCACTTTCTCTGTATTTTAGAGGAAGTGTTTTATTTAATTACCTCTTTTGGGTAGGCTTCAGCAATTGTTCCCAGCATAGGAAATATGTTCCTGAGGTGTGCCGGCTTTACTATAGAGGCTACTATGTCCTCTTTGATATCCAGACCACCAGCTCTGTTGCTATGTAAGTGGTGACCTCATACACTGACAAGGAGAATTACTAAAATGACTATTCAGCTCTTTAGACCTATGGATTCCCACAGTTTGGGCTTGTTTGAAGTATTGTTGACTAGTGGGCATCAGCTGAGGTACTGCCGTCTTTTGAAGTACACTGGTTTATAAAGAAGAGTAGCAAAAAGCAAATGGAGTATAAGTAAGTTTTTCCTTTGGTTTCTTCTAGTACCATTTCCAATAATTCCTTGGAGAGCTCCCTGCGGCAGCTAGAATGTCATTTTACATGGAGTTTGCTGCAGCAGGATGTGGATCTCGATGACCTAGAGGAAACAATAAATGACCAGACAGAGTTTTTAATAAAATCCAACATCACAAATTATAATCTACTCTCCTATGTATGCCACCTAAATAATTCAAATGAGGAAGCCCTGAGAAATCTCCAAAAAGCTGAAGAAGTAGCTGAAAAACACCATCCAGATGAAATTGCCAGAAGTCTTGTTACCTGGGGGAACTATGCCTGGATCTATTACCACATGGAGAGATATGAAGAAGCTCAAACTTATGTAAGCAAAGTGGAAAACAGCTGCAAAAAGCTTTCAAGTACTGCTCAATGGAAGATTGAGCTTCCAGAGATCTATGCTGAGCAAGGATGGGCATTATTAAAGTTTGGGAGAAAATACTACGACAGAGCAAAGAATTGCTTTGAAAATGCTCTGAAAACTGAACCCAACAACCCAGAATTTAATGCTGGCTATGCAATAACAATGTATCGTTTGGAAAGTTTTTTTAACACTGAAAGAGAAGATTTAAACCTGTCCCTCAAGCCCCTGCAGCGTGCAGTGGAACTGAATCCAAAGGATACTTTCATTATGGCATTACTAGCATTAAAACTTCAGGACTTTAAGCGAGTTGATGAAGGGGAGAGATACATTGAAGAAGCAATGCAGCAAACCCCTGATATTCCTTATGTCCTCCGATATGCTTCTAAATTTTACAGAAGGAAAGGAGAACTGGAAAAGGCACTGGAGATTTTGAAAAAGGCCCTAGCAGTGACACCAAAATCTTCCTTTCTGCATCACCAGCTAGGACTCTGCTACAGAGCAAAGCTTTTTCAATTGAAAAAGAGTACAAGATACCCACCTCGAGAGCAAGTACAGGAACTCATCCGACTTTCCATTTTTCATTTTAAAACAGTAATAGACCAAAAGCCAAAATTTTTTTCAGCCTATCTTGACCTAGCAAACATGTATGCACAAGAAAAGAGGTATGAAGAAGCAGAGGAGACATTTCAGAAAGCATGTCAGATAAATATTCTGTTCCATGATGATAAACAGGAGTTCTACTACAATTATGGCCGTTTTCAGCATTTTCATATGAAATCAGAATCTAAAGCCATGAGGTATTACATAGAAGGGCTGAAAATGGAAAAATATTCTTATTTCTTCTTTAAGTGCAGAAGTGCTCTGAAGAAATTGGTGGAACAGAGAATTCAGGGAGGTTTAGGAGTTGCAAAAGATTTTGGTACACTTGGATTAATTCATAATCTAAGTGGTGAGAAACGTGAAGCAATTGAGTGCTATGAAAAAGCCATTGCACTGTCTCCTGACAATGAAGAATATCTGAGTGCATTATGTGAGCTACGACTTTCCATCTCAAGCTAAACCTCAAAAAATTGTTCAAAACAAAACAAAAAGACCAAACCCAAGGACATTTCAACAGACTCTCAGAACATTTTTTTTTTTAAGGTTGAAGTTATAGCTAGATGAAACATCTGGTGGCAATCACTTTCTGGTGATAATGTAGAAACTGCAGCTGATGGTTGTTCATTCACCAACAGAGAGCATGCTTGGAAATAATAGCTAAGCTATCTTAGTCTTCAGTACTAACACTGCTATAAATTAGGTTGTGTTTAAGTCATGATCTGTAGAACACCACTTCTAAGCTGGAAATCAGATCTTGCCTTCTACTGAGAAAAAAATAAGAGAATTCATCTATCCCCTTGAAAAGCATGCTTATACACAAATGAAATTTCTAATGCTCTTTCATATATTTAAAAAATGGGGGTTTTTAGTGTTATTTAGAAGAAACTTTTCTTGAAGATTTGTGTGGTTTACTACCTTGTATGTTGTCTAACTATGAAAAATAACCACTGTTTGGCTCACTGTAAAGCTTACAAAATGTGTATTATTGTTGTGAACTATTAAAGAGTATTACATCCATCAACTGTTGCTTCTGGTATCTCTCTACTGACTCTCTACTCACGTTAGTAGATGAAAGATAGGGAAATGGCCATTCAAAAAAGTAACCAGGATAAAGTTTATAAAAATAAAATTCAGAGATGTTGCACCAAAGAATTATACTGCCCACAAAACAACATCCATCTAGTTTATCCAAAACTGCAGTCTCAGGAACTGCCAAAGAAGAAGGAAAGGCAGTCTTTGGGATGTCAAAAAGATGGCTATGTGCAGCTATGCTTGTGAAACAAACTAGGGGTAGAAAACACACACAAGAAGTGGACTGGACTGGACATGGAGGGCAAAGCTCAGCTAGAGCAGAGTTGCATGAGCTCCAGAAAACAGGGCAGCAGAATGCAAGGGGCATGTGGGATAAAGGTTGGGTGCCCACAGAGTCTATGTGAATGGAAAAAAGAGCTGAAAAGACAGAGGGAACAGGTGGAGAAGATGATTGTCTTCAGATAGCAAACTAAAAGTTAGTATTCTTTACAACAGGCTGTCCTAGTTCCATAGTTCTGTACCTTGGTATAATAGATTATGGTGTATAGGGAAAACGAGTGCTGTACCGCTTCCAAAACACTTCTGAACCCTAGCGCAGAATAAAGCAAACTGGTGACAGACCCCATCAGGAAGGAGAATTCCTACCCCTGTGATAGCAGTTCCATGTACAGACAGGATGAGAGACCCGAGGCAGTGTAAAATATGATGCCAGATCATGAAACATCAAAGACACCTCTCCCCCCTCAGCTCTCTCTCATAGAATTTTTCATAATAAAAGCAAAAGTGATCAGGAGCCTAACAACATACATAATACAACCACACCTTCTTCTGAAGAAAGAGCCAGGACAAAATCCATCCTTGTTTTCCAGCCACCTGCCAGCTTGTCTGTTACAAACATGGCACTACCTAGGGAAAGAACAGGGAAAGAGGAGAACAGGAAGGACATGGAGCAGGACCGACACCCTGGTCCTGAAAGCTGGTAGCAACAACAGTAGAGTTGAAGTGAGGAACTGGTGACTATCTATGGTGGCATGCTCAGCTACATGGGCAAAAGGGTACATTAGGTAACCTCACTGCCTTTCTCAATCTTGTGGCTTCTACCGTCCACATCATTGCCATTCAAATCCTCCTGAGGGCATGAAGGCAGCAGGGAAGAATTCAAGGAAGAGGTGCAGGTTCCCAAAACCATGATGGTCCGTTCGTGTACCCTCCACACTCTGCCACCAGGGCCTCTCCTGGAAAACGAACTTGCAGAAATAAGGAGAAGCAATAAAGCATTTTGAGAAAAACACAGGTCTGAATTTTATTTTATGGAGAGTCAGAGAAGCTCAATCTTCTCCACCACAAAGAAAATGACCGTGAGGCACAGTGATGCAAGAAATCTATTTATTGTGCCTTACCTTCTTTAGGCTCTGGAGGATTGCACTGGACCGCAGTACTACCCGGGGATGCTCTGTGCAAACACTGCCTTCTGGTTCTTGCCTAGTGCCTCGTAAATGAGGAGAAATGTTATTTCCCACAGGGTGGTGCTGCTGCATTGCCTGGCGCGGCAACTCAGGGAAGAGGCTGTGTTTGAGCTTCGGGAAGGGCACAAAACGGAACACACATTATGCAGTGCCCAAGTCCAGCAGGCAAAACCAGAACCACACAAGAAGCTGAACACCTCTCAACTCACACCCAAGTATGAGTACATCACTGGAGCCTACGCTAGTAGTGCAGGGAAAAAGGAGTGAAGACAATTAATTAATTAACTAATACTACCCTTCAGGAAGTATTAATTTATGAATCAAAAGCACCTTCTAAATTATACAGAAAACTCTTCTGGAATACACGAGAACAGTCATTTAGAAGAAGGTATTATTTATTGAGGTGATCCCGACTAAGGACTTTGTTGTGCTGACCATGAAGTATTGTTACAGCTTAACTTAAACAAGCTCTTCCTTCTTACATAGACTTGTAATATTTTCGAAAGCAAATGAGGAGTTATTGTGGTAATATAAAATATATTCACCATATAGTAGCACAGACAACCTTTGTTTTTCAGGATGTAAATTATTATCCATGTTAGCAGAAATATTTTAGGCTCAATTTTTTCTTTTTTTTTGAAAACAGGGTTGCTTTTCAACGGATGGTACTTTTCCAATGCTGTTTTCACACAATTTTTAAAGTTACAATAAAAATTATCACTAGAACATAAGCAATTTCAAAAGAATTATGAGTTCCCATTTCAAACGTCATGGGCTGGAAACAGATGGGATAACTTCAGCAGTTGTAAGCAGTTTCACTTACGATGAATTCCTGTTTGCTGCACTGAATACTGTCCCAGGCAGGATCTATCTGAGGTAGGATCCATCTGCTTCTGTCTGAGAGATGTCACCGCAGCCAAATCAGACCATGCTGTCTCAGGAAGTCAGACAGACTCAGCAGGTGCAGTGCTCCAGTCAAGCTTGTATCCATCAGTGCTCAACAGGGAAATAGTTCACAGCTAGCCCAGGTAACTCCATCTACCACTGCACTGTACCATGCCAGGAAATACCCTCTGTGGAGAACAGCCTGAATATTAATTATAATCTCTGAAGAAAACATTGCAGATACAATAAATAATTTTTTTAAAAATATAATCCAGAGACTTCTATAATGTGCCACCTGAAACATTTCACATGTCAGGATGAAGAAGAGCTGTTCAGTTTGGGTTGTGTGTACCAGGGGGTAGAAGTTTGGCATGAGGCTTTGCGAACCTGTATTGTACTTCCATTTGTTCCACTTGCAGGTCATTTCTTGTTATGCTTCCTTCCTTCTGTGTCAGAGCTGGGGAGATTCATGACAGGGCTGGTATTTCACAGTGTGTTTTATGCACAGAAAGCATCATTCTAGTATATAAGCTTTTGTCCATTGGCTTAATTCAGAGCAGAAACAGCGTTAGAAAACCCTGAAATAATTCTATTAGTTTCTACAAAATTTCTGCGTATAAAAGCAGTCAAATGTTTTCTGCTGAATTAAATATTTAAAACAAGAAATGCTGCTTTAATTCTAAGTTAAACACAAAACAGAAAAGCCTATGAAAAAATACCTTGAAATGTAAAAAAAAAAAATGCTGGTAATTTATTACATAGTATTGTTTACTAGGATAAGAATGCATATACTATTATTCCAAAAGGCTTTTATAATATGCTGTTCTAGCATGAACAATTGCTGACATGTCGTGATGTGGTAAAAAAAGTAATAAATTTTTTGTAAAGTAAATGACAGCAGTAACCTATAACTCCTTGTAATAGCTTATCTTCTTTGTAGACCACACATTCCCTACTTTTTGATATAAACTTCTTTATTAAGATCTAAGCCAATATCTTCATCACTACTAATTAATAAAGCCACCTTTTTTCCCTCTCAAATGTGCATATTTTTCCTAACTCATTAAAAAATACTCATGGATAATTTCTTTCTTTTTTTTATCATGTATGTTAAAATCAAAATTAGGGCCCAGGGCTCAGTTACCACACAGAGCTGAAAAAAGGGTTATGTCATTAGTTTTAAGCAGGTTTTGCACTCCCATCTCTTAATCTGTGTTCTGTGCTTGTAAGTCACGCTACTGGCTTTGATCACACTTCTGAAGCAGGGCAGCAAGAAATGCTTTGTTTGAGCATAGACAACTATAGTCAGACAATTTTAATATGTTATATTTAAAATATGCACTAATAATAGAAATACTTGATATGCATACTATTCATATATATATATAAAAAATACAGTATACCACTATGGCTGTACTCATGATCTAAATCGAATTTGTGAACATCAGTCTATTTTGATTTCCCTTCTGAGGCACAAACTGGAATAGAACGCTATGAGCAACGATTGAATACATTGCAGATGATTAGCAAAACTACTAGTCCAGCATTGGTAAAAATTATTTGACGCTCATCAATTTGCTAATGAACAGAATGCAGCTTTATACAGCATCAAAACACAGAAGTGATTTGCATTGCAGAATGTGAAGTTCCTCCATTGTTGACAAGTTTCACTCTGGAAGAAACATCCCATTATTTATTAAATCATCAAATCAGTAAATTACCCCATAAGCTACAGCTCCTGTGAAGAAGCCAGCTATAGTTTATTCCTCACACAAGTAGCAGGAAACCATCAGCAAATCATTGTGTTCTGGCCATGCAGGACAAGTGACTTGAGCAGCTCTTCAGTTGGCACAAACAAGTAATTTGCACCATCTGAAGATACAGCTCCTGGGTCCAAGAAGAGACAGACTTGCCACTGGAATATACAGAAACAATTTTGTCTGCCAACATCCTTTTTACTAATAGTCTGTCGAGTGGGCAGTTTCTCAGTCATTTGCTTGCACAGACTCTAAATTTCTTCAACAGCTACTGATTTCACAGGAGGAAGAGGCTCTGTATTTGTCAAAACACAAGCCTCTCCTCTTGTCTCCTGGGCTGTCTTTGGGCTTATTCCAACTAATGCAGCTAAAGCAGGTTTGTCTATCAGCATGCCTAGTCCTCTGGCACAAATTTACTCCTCTTCAGATAGTAGAGGAGCCACAGCACCTCTTCCACCCTCCCAGTCAAGGATCAACTGGAAGATCATACATGGAATGCCAATGTTTAAAAATTCAAGCTTTAAAGATATCTGGGAAAAAAAGCAACAATCACTTCAAAATTTTGCTGTAGGGGCTTGGGAAAGTAGGTATAGAACCATATTTGAAATTAAATTCCAACTTATGTACAAAATTCAGGCACACTGTAAAAATTAAAGCTGCTCCAGAGATACTTTCAGTATAAATCACAGTTTCCTGACAGATTTTTCTAAAAAAAAAAAGGCTTTGGCATTTGAAGGAGTTATTTGCAAAGAGTTTAATGCAGACTGATAAATGTGGAGGTTTTTTGATGGGGTGTGTGTATGATTAGTCCATTGAAACATAATGAACGACCATAATAGAATATCAAAAAGCTTATTTCATTAATACTATTCTGAAATAATTTCAACTTAATTGTTCAGTTTTGGTGACTGATTACCTTATAGTTTGCTTTTGATGAGCCAATTATCATCTTTGAGATAACCTGTGGAGTCAACATACTGCATTTCAAATAAATCTGTGACCATTTGTATCTACAAACTCTATTTTCTGTTTAGCTTTCTTCTATTACTGCATTAACTTGGTATTACTGGCGCTGTATGTAGATTTTAGCCAACTGAAACACAACAGAAAAATCTAATTGCAAGATGCCTTGTTTCACAAGTAGTATCCAACAGTGTAACACTACAGAGCCACCTCTCAGTCATGGCTGTGTAGTGCTGAATCCTGATGGTGCTTGTCATCTGTTGCTGTAGCTGTTTGTATCCACAGCCAAAAATTCAACATCCTTTTGGTCTAATCCTGCTGTGACAGAATAAGCTATTGCTCCATTTGTCCAGAGGTGCTGTTTGGTGCCAGTATCATTGGTGAGTGACCACAAACGTGTTCTTTTGATTTTCTTTGCTAGTCTTGCAAAGCACAGTAATGTTGAACTAAATATCATGGAAAATCCACACAGGAGGAATGATGCAGTATAGCTGCCAGTTGTGTCCACAAGCCAACCTGTAGGAAAACAAATCATCGGTTTTAAAGGCTTACCAAATTCTGATAATTTACAAATCTTGTGATCAACAGGAACTTTATAAACTTCTGGAATTATAACATATAAATACAATCAAACAATACAGGTTTATATCACCATTACTACTTTTACCTCCTGGGGCAGGGAGGGATTTGTCCTCAGCAGGCAGTTAAGATTTTTATGGACTTTTGTTTGGAGGTCAACCAATGAGAAAAGGCACAGCAGTCATCACCACAATACTAAATAAATATCTTTCAACTACATGGATTTAACCGGTAGTCTTTAAACATGCTAATCCCTGGGTTAAATATTGTGTGCATGAGATCCTCATACAGAAACATGTAATGAGCTATGCCATTGGTTCATGCATCACTTAAAAATAATTTCATTTTGCAGTATTTTTTTTCTAGGGAAAATCAAATTAAAAGCTTCAGGAGCAGAGATTAGTAGGGAATTGATGTGAACAGCAGACAAAATATGCAAAACATACACATGGATGTTTGAATAAGATCTCTGACCTTCCACAATATTCAAAACTGTGTCAAGTTCTTTCTAAACAATAATAGGAGTACAGCTCTCATCCTTACTTTACTGTAATGGAACCGATGGAGAAAATTATGGTTAGGTATTATGGTGATGAGCTTGTGACCAAACAGTAGTGAAGCTGACTCACCCACCTGCTCAAAGCAGTCTGGAGATTAAAACGTCAAGTCCTCTGCACCAAAAAACCTTGGAATAAAACTCTCTTTAGGTTACAGTTCCAAAATCATGTAATTTCACAGTGAAATCTTTTGTCCCTTCACTTACACAATTTCTAAACTACATGAAGTGGTGATGTAACAGCTCTTAGAAGCCCCATTCCATACTGGTTTGTTTTTTAAATTTCAACTTGATCTATATAGAGAAATCATCCCATCAAGACAGGATTTAAACAGGATCTAAAGTCTTATGAAGGTCTAGGTGTGTTATTTCTCTGCCCAGGGGCTACTTCCACATTTAGTGTGCATCTGACGTCCTTCTTCTCCTTTTACATCACACCGATAGGTAAATCTGAAGTAGTGGTAAGATTACAGGAAAGTCATTTGTGAACTGACCTGCAACAGGCGGACTCACTAGATACGGTATGGCATGCAGAAAATACACAACACCCAGTGCTGATGATAAGGCAGAAGTTCCCACTACATCTGCCGTCACAACAGGGATCAGCGTTACATAGGCTCCATCAAAGTAGCCAAAGGTGAATGAGAAAGGCACAAGCAAGGGGAAATTTTGGAGAACTGGCAGGAAAAGACAACAGAGGCCATCCATTCCCACAGCAAAGAGGTAGCAAAAGTGCCGATGCTTCTTCAGACACCTGCAAGTTTCAAAACAGAAAAGACACAGCACCTCAGTTTCTACACCCTGGCATGCAGCACTTCAGTCTCTCTCTCTTTTATATAGCTCAAATGTAAATCCATTTTCTTACACAGACTTCAAGATGCAGAGCTCAGCACTGAGAAGCCCAGGTAGAGAAAGCTGCCCACCCACAGCTGCAGAAACAACTGGTAAGCAGCAGCCCATGCCGCCTACAGTGTTCTTTGGGTTGCGCCACTCCACTGCAAAGACTTTGCAGCCCTCTGAAGTTTCAATGTTCAAAGCAATATTCCATCAGGCTTTACATCCCAGCTCAGCAAGGTGCTCCCAGTATTGGCAAAACATATTACAGTACACCTCTGTTAGATGTCACCCTTTTCATCAGCCCTTAAACACTGGAGTTAGTGTGAGCTAAGTGAGATGACAATTCCCTTTCTCACTGCTCCACAAAACCAATTACTGATTTTTCCCACAAACTGAATAAGCACAAAGAATGTGTCCTTTAGAATAAAAATCCTTCTTAATTCAGCCAATCTCTACTGATGTTACAGATGCTGCACACAGATGTTTGGAGTGAGCAAAGCATGGTGAGTTCTTACATACTGGAAAATGTAAAACAATTCTGAGTATGCGTCTGACAGTGTTGGGTCAGACCCTTGACCCTTCTCCATATCTTCTGTGCCTCCCCAGCAGCACAAAAGGAATAGAAAGGCAGAGAAAGTAGGGTGAGATCCTCCAGAAAATAGGTACAGAGGATCACACTCAACATACCTCAAGCAGAGAGTTATATAAAATGCAAGAACTTTGCACAAACACATAATTTCTTCAGGGAAAAAAAGAAATTAAACCAGCAGAATTGAACAAACTCGGAAGAGAAAGAAACATTAAATAGTAAGCATTTCTGAAAGTTAGATGATCTGTTGGGGTTTTTTCTTGAAAACTTACACATGCTACAGAAAAACCCCATAATGTTAACTTTTATATGTATTCTATCTCATTTACATTCAGCCTCCCAATAGCTAAAGCTTACACTTGCTTAGCCATAAGCCATTACCTTCTGTCTGTTAGCCATCCAAAGGTGATATTACCAATGATGTCTATGACACCAAGTATGGACATGAGGAAGGCAGCCTGGTGATGACTCACTCCAACGCTCAAGGCATAAGGCACCAGGTAGACAAAAAGAGGGCTACAGCCATATGCCATAAATAAAACTGACACTGCCAGCACCATGAAGCCTGGCATCAGTAAAAAGTCATATTCCTTCCATGAACAGTAGCATAAACATTCATGAGACCACACTTTGATTAAAGGTGAACAGATGGACATTTGCTTTAAGTCTCTTTTCTGTGCTTCAGGGACATAATCCTGTTCAAGAAACTCAGGAGCAGTTTTACGGTCCTCCTTAAGAGCAATAGGCCGCATCAAGGCACCACAGACACAGAGGTTTAAAACAAAACCTCCCAGGATGAGTAAAGCTCCACGCCAGGAAAACTGCTCAATTAAGAGCTGGACCACAGGGGCCAGGATGAAGGTACCGATTCCACTTCCTGACATCGCTATCCCATATGCCAGTGCTTTTCTTTTGTTGAAATATTTGCCCACCATTGCAATGGCTGGAGAATAGCAGAGTGCAAACCCAAGTCCTAGAAGAGAAAGCACAGTGCAAATGGTTTAAGACTAAGCATGACATATGAAACACATTAAATTAAACCACATAACCTACTTTCATTAGAACAAATGAATAGGAATCCTTTTCTCATTCTGATTCAGTGTGAAGAGAAACCAGGATGACTCCTTTGTTCCACTGTCAGGGTCACCGACTTGACAAACTTAATGTATCACCTTTAATTCACAACAACAAGGCTCAGAAAGAAGTGATGGGGTTCACTTAATAACAAGAACGATCAATAAGCATCAGAGAAATGGTGTGTCAGCCTGTCTTGGATGCACAATGAAGTCATGGCCCAGGGTCTGCACAGATGCTCACAGTGGGCACACTATCCTGATAAGGCACCACTTTGTGATTTGGTCTGTTGCAACCCTGAACATTAATTTTCAGGTCTCCAAAATGTATTCTACATATTCTAGAGTAAACCTTTTTTAGTCAGCTAAACAAACTCCACGCAGCAGCTGCTTGGAGTCCTCATCATTTTAAATCCCTGACTACGAGTAAAGAGAGGGGAAAAGCCTCAGAAAACAAAGCCATGTCTAATTTAGTAAACAAATAAGATCCATCTCTTGGACTGGGAAAAAGATTGTGATCTCTGCTGCAGAACCAGAGAGCAGATTTTAGTCATCAGATGCTTGCCCTAACACTAAAACATACGTTTCTGAATCAGCTGAAGAAATGTGTTCCTGACTAGGGTTTTGGATCATGTCCTACGCTGAGAATAAAACAGTTACCACTGCCTTTGGCAGAACTTGCCAGTAGAGGAAATAATCACCTGGCACTATAACCAGCTTGCCATGTCCTCCTCAAAGGCTGCACTGTGCAGGATAAGAGGATTAGAGGGACTCCGGGCAGTGGGTGCCCGTTCTGGCACCCCTCAGGAGGCGAGGGGAGGAGCAGGGCAGAGAGCGGGCATTGAACCTGTGTGGGCAGCAGAGCTGGAAGAGCAGCCCTAAGCTAAACATCATCACTTGAGAGCTGTGAAAATCACACTCTATTTGGCATACACACCATTTATTTTTTTAGTGAGTTGGCATGGGGAAATAGGCCCCCCAAAATGCCAATAAATGTCCTGTGAAAAGTGGAAATGCAAAGTTTGAGGCTGAAAACATTATCATACCTCTTAGAAGAAACTGCTACTTACTGCCACTCCTCCATCTCACCTCTGCTTTACTCCTCAGTTTCAAGTGCTGCAGCTTTTATGGATTTAGACCTTCATCAGTTATGCTCCCACCTCCTCTCTGGGTTGGGCACCACCTCAGCCTTTACCAACAGTTCACCTCTCCATTAATCGGTCCCCACAGACTAGAAGTTCACTGCTGGTAGAATTGGCTCTTTACAACTCCACGTACAAAGTGCAATGGCTTTTCCACCTCAGCATTCATAGCAGTTCTCACTAAGGAAGCCTCAGTGGCATTAGCATGGTATGTGGCACGTCCCTCCAGTTACAAGGAGCCTTTTCACTTGTTATGAACATACTTGTCAAAGATTAACATCATAATATGGGAGTGACATGCACTACAATAAGGATTATTTTTTTTTAAAACAAATAAGCTGTTGGCAGCATGTGAACTGCAGTAATTCCACCAACTTGTTACTGAACAGCAGGGGACCAAGTACAAAGGCTTATATCACCGTGGCTACCGGGTCAGTATTAATGAGGAAGGAATGTCAGTATGACCATGGGCACCTCTCAAGTTCCTCTGCACACCAAACACAGGGAGATATGACAGAGCAAAGACACTGCTATCCCCATACTTGAATGCAAATGGAAGAGCTGCTACAGCAACACCACCAACCAGCAATTCGCTTGCTTTTCAACTGAAATGTAACACAGATAAAAATAAGATGGACAGCTGAGGTACCAGGTATTCCCAGTATTCCTCTGCCCACTTACTCATGTTTTGATTTAAACCTTTTTTTTAACGTGCAAATATTTTTGGGCAATCTAGAACTCCTACTATAACAAACTCCTGCCAAATCACAAGAAAATAAAGGAAACCGTTTTGTGTATCACCTGCAACAGCAGTCCTTCCTGACCTACTATAATTTCAGAACTTTATCCATAGTCTTCTCTGTAACAGAAGTTTAAGAGTTGCTTTTGCAGGGTCCTCATTTGGGCTGTATGAGACGCACTGAGTGCTGAAGCCCTCAGAGGGGCAGACAAAGCCTCTATGACATGGAGAAGAGATCACACCTCTGGAAAGGAAGGACCATAATTTTTAACATTCCTGTGTTGTTTTCCTGGCAGGAACAAAAGGGCTGAATGTCTCCTACCTGTAAGGACTCCTAATGATAAGTAGAGATGTTCCAGGCTGGTGGCAAATGAACTCAGAATTAGTCCAGTAGATGCAAGCAGCCCTCCTAGCATGATACCAACTTGGCAGGATACATGATTACTGATTAAACTCCCAAGCGGGGCTTCAAAGAAACAAATAAAGCTGGTAGTTAATGGTAGGTCCTCACACAAAGTTCATTGCAATGGTCATAAAGGAAAAGGAAGAAGTAGGCAAGCAGGAGATAACGGTGATCACAGCTACACAAAGTGGTCTTCCAACATCCCCCCTATCACAATGGTGTGAGCACCAAAAAAGTTCTAAAAATAATTTTTCTGTAAGTCAGGATAAAACTGAAATTCACAGTAGCTTTCCCAGCAGCCATTTTTAGTAGATCAAAATCATTACAGGACTCTGTAGTTTTGGGGGTCAAGAGAGATCACAGTGACAGCCCACATTGTTCATTACCCCACACTTATCACTGAGACCTTCCCCCACCTGGCATTTGCACTTCAGCCCTCAGTAACTTCAGGCATCCTTCCTTGCTTCTCCCTGGCCTTGTGGGCTCTGTGTCAGACCCAAACAGGAGAGGTCTCACATCTTTTGGACCATTTCCAGGGCTGCTACCCCTCTCCTGCACTTCTCCAATGTTGATGGCTTCCAGATCACACTACCTCTACTATGGTGTCATCAGCAGCCCTCTCTCTGCAATTCCAGGGCATGGTTATCCTTGTTTTGCTTTTTTTGCCCAAGATATAACCTGGTTGACACAGGAGAGTTGATATGTCTTGTTCCAGCTGTGTCCCTGAGCCTTTGCAGTAATTCTCATGGATTAACCCTCTTACACAGAAGTAGGGCATGGATTTTCACCTAGCTGTACAGTTTTAAAGTAAACCCATAAGAAGTTCAGTATAACTGCTGCATTGATGCATGTCATTTTTAGTAACACTGAATTTTCCTTTAAGGGAAAACACTATTTGTAAACATACAAGTTTGCTAAAAGGAGGATGGGCTGTGACTTGTTCTGAAGGCAAGATGTACATCCTGTGCTAAGTCTCAAATACGATTCCAGTCAAAAGACAAAAGAAACAAGTGTTCAGTTAGTAACTCTCAAACACAGCTTGTCCCACTAGACCTTGACAAAAGTACATTTCTGAAAAATTAGATCATTTGACAAAAAGTTCTGCTGCTTTTCTGTAGTATGAAGACACTCCACTCCCTTCCTGCTCAACTATGCTGGGGAAAGCAGCTTGGATATACCATACCCCAGAGAGCCTACAGTATCTATCTCTGGCAGCTGACTTCACAGCTTGTGAACATGCTAAAACCAGATGAAGACAAAGCAGTCACATGTCTTAAATGGGTAATACACACCACAGAACATCGTAGCACAGTCGACAATGGAGTGGATCCAAGCTGTTCTGGCATAATCCTGCCCAAAGTATGCCTGGAACTCCACAAAAAAAATGGAGATGCACCTAGGAAAGAAAACATGAACACCAATCTGTTGAATGTGGGATATTTGCCTCACAGAAAACACCAGTTTCAGGTAAGAAGAGTATCCACTTGAAGGTCCCATCCAGCTCCCAGGAAAATCAAATCTGTAGTTTGCCTAAATCCCAATCAGATGAAGAAATTTTAAACAGTTTCTAAGGGATAATGGAAATGAAGAGCTACCTTAATGCATGGGGGACAAGACGTGAAATGATGTGTGCAAATTGAATAATTCCAACACTATTCTGTGTAAGGCACCTAGGCTAGGGTGATTCACCAGAGAAGAAACCTTGCTTTGCACCGGCAACAACTGAATCACAAATTGGTGTCCAACTATTATCTCAACAGTGGGATTAGACAAAATTACGCTCATACAGAACTTAGTTCAGACAGATAACTACTCCAGAGTGATTATGAACATTATAATACCACATTTCTCACTGTGGTATCTGCTGCTAGATTTTTATAACTCATAATATTTTTAACTGAAATGAAATTGAAGTTGTAATTATCACCAGCAATTTATAGCCCACATCAGAATGTTGCTTTCCTGGTACACAAAGCCCCAGCTCCCCAGTTCTTCACTGATCTGGTTGCTTGCTAGTGGTGACATTCACATCTACACAAACTGGCAGGGCAGGGCCAGCACAGTACCCATAGAGCCAACACCACCTATAGCTATGTGTTCATGGATTCATGAAAAGCAACCCCTCATGAACAGAGAAGCAAAACTCAGCAGGAGCCCATGGACCTTTCAACGGTTTATTAAAATGCTTCCAGGAGAGGCTACTTTGCTCTGCTTAATGAATGTTACTGTTGTACCGTCTCTGCAGGAGAACGGATTAAAAGGCTGCATAGTTTCATTCTAGTTTCTGGATCAGCAAGATATTCCTTTTCCCCCTCTCTTTTTTCCTCCTACAAATCAACGAATGACCACTTTCTTCATCTTTTTTCTTGCCCATACTTCATTCTTGTATATACTCTAGATGTGTGTCAGCCATTACATGATTTCTTGGATGTAACATTTCACACACGAGAAAGGAATTAAATCCACTAGGAAGTCTCTGCTATTATTACGGAATTGGCACATTTGCATACATAAACTAACACTGTGTCAATGTTTCCATGCCCCTTTGAAGCTGACTCCAAGACCCTAGACTTTAGATTCCTAAACTTGGCAGCTTTATTTTAAAATAAATATAGAATTTAGGTAGGAAACACTGTATGTACATTATACTGACTGTCCAGCAAGACACTGTCTCAGTGTTCCTCACTTACCAGGGTGCTTATCTCTCTGCTTAATATAGCTTAAATGTTCATGTTCACACACACCAGGCTCCTCTGTCTCCAGTTGACATCAAAGTCACTGTGGAAGCCATCTCACCCCAGATGTATACATTATGTTTATGCAAGGCAGCAGTCTATTCCTGTTCTTTCTATTTTTGAGAAGTATTTCTGAGAAAATATTTTCTGCATATTTTGGATACCAGAAGAGCACAGTAAGGGGCCTCCTCCCAAAATCACAGACCTTCTCTGGCAGGGTGGTACCTGAAATACTTGCAGTAGAAGGGGGGGTATACAGGCTTCTCAGACTCAGGAGCCAAGCAAATCCACTGGGACTAACAAAGATGAACATGGCTGTGGGGTCAGAGGGACACAGCGGACCCAAGGAGATCCTATGTGATTCCTCCCTCCCCAACGAACCACCACAGCCTGAAATAATGCTGACAGCCCCAGGCTTCAATTCTGTAAGAAATCATGGAGAGGGTGTTGAGAGATAGAGCAGCTGTCAGAGGAGGCAAGACTAAAACCAGAGGGCTCATAATCCCTCAGCCGTCCCCACAGCCTTAGGGATTTCAGGAAACCTTTAAAAAGGTAGCAAGAGAGAGGTTTGTACCTAGCCAAAATAAACCCTGCAGTTGTGGGACATCAGGGGAGATCCCAAATCCTCTTCCTAAGGAGGAAAAAAAAAATAAATGGAGGGGTAATACCACAAACAGATCAGGAAGACAAGAAGCAGCCCCTTTACCTCGTCACAGCCCTGGTACAGATAGTGACAAGGAAGCAGCCAGCAACGATCATCCACCCCCAGCCTCCATCCGGAGGGCCAGCGTGCCGGGGTGAGGCCATGGCGCAGGCTGGGGTGATTCCTCCCTCCTCCCTGCCTCAGTGGCAGGGGTCAAGTCCGGCCGGCTTGCCGAGTGCAGGCTGGGGCTGCCTGGCACATGGGTTACTGGCCATCTGAAGGGAGAGAGAGAAAAAAATAGAGGCAGAGGGAGAATCAGGGTACATCACACACACTGTAAAACTGCACGGCTGTGCTAGGACATACTGCTTTGGCTTTATTGCATAAAACCAAGGATTTTCTTTCAAATGCAGTTTATGAAAATTTGTTGGAAGCAAGAGTGCCATCAGAATTTGACCCTCTGTCTAGTATCATTTATTTCAGGATGATTTGCCCAGCAGTTACATCCTAGAACATCATACCCTTTTTCCCCACAAACGTCACAGCACACACGTGTAAGTCACATACTTTTACTGGTGCCAGTCACTGCAGCTCGTTCACCTTCAGTGGCCTCCCCCTGCTCACACAAGCCCCTGGCCTGAATTTTATTTTCAGCTGCAGTCTCCACACAAAGTAGCTATTCTTTGTTGTACACGTTTTATTGCAAAATTTTTGAAATGCAGTTTTCATCTTTGTATGAGAAGGGAATATTCTCTGCAAAATCAGAGCAGATCTGATGATGAAATGACCTCCTTGTTCTCATAAGTCAAACCCTAGATGAAGGCTGTAATCAGCAACTTTATCTTCTGAGCATGGACAATTCACTGAAGATTAGGGCTAGCCCATCCCCCTCTTCCATCCACTTAAATCAAAGCAGTGTTTGCATCCAGGCCATAACATGGGCTCTAAATGCACTGAGTGCTGAAGGACACTACAGGAAACCAAATTACACCCACTGGACCCTAGATGAGTAACTGGTCCTGTGTGCTGGAGTAGCTTTGCTAACACTATGGGTAACACCAGCAGCATTTAGTCCCTTCTGTGTCAGTGGGTGCATGGCAGGGCTTGACCGAGGGACCTGAGACACCCTGTTTTGCTCAGTGCAGGAACACATACCCACTGGCTGTCAGTGCTGGGTTTCAGACCATGTTGCCATCACCAGCAGGCACTTAGCCCCTGGAGGAATCAAAGATTTATATAAGACATAAGCAAACTATTTGGGATGTCTTTCAGTTTGGCTTGGAGAGAAACCTCAAATAGCTTCTACACCACCTAATATGACAGATGCTGAATATGCAATGCTCCCACTGACAAGAACCACAGGCTTCCCTGGAACTGTTACCAGTTACAGGCACGTAAGAGGGCTGCAGAGCTGCTCAAAAGTGCAACTCAAGAAAGAAGCTACATGGCTAATAACGTGTCTTCTCAGTCCCTGAATCTGCTCGGTCAGGTGATGCTCAAGGCTTGGCTCTGCAGAGCCCAGAGCTCCCTGACTTAAACCAGCAAGGCACCCCAGAGGCAACCCTAAACATTGTCACGGGTAAACCTTTCAGAGGTATTCATCAGCTGCCTCTCCTGAGATATCAGAAGGTGCATCTCAAAACCATTACAAAATTATTTCAAGAAAACATATACACATTGCCAAAATTAAAGGTGAACAAATTAGGAGACAACAGGAATGACAAAAAAAAACCCCACAACATATTGAAAGCTTAGCTGAATTCCTACTAGGCTGTAAATAATATGCTGTAACAACACTGTACAAGAGAAAGAGTGGACTCTTTTTAAAAAGGTTTGGTAGTCTTCTGATTTAAAAAGGATATGAAAAATTATCCTAATCTACCTGCTTGACTTTCAAAGCCCAAGAATTGCAGCACAATCAAGCACTATATACTAAGACAACTCAGCCCATAAATGTTAAAAACAGAAAAGCCAAGTACAGTTTTCAAAGATGGGGTTACAACCAAAAGCCAGTGGCTGTGCTGTCATATAAGGCACCTGAACTGCCACAAGAAGTGAACAGCAAAGACAAGTGTTCATAAACTCACAACAAAATGTGTGCTTGTCAATGCTTTTGAGCAGTGATTTAAGGTATCCATGTCTGAAACAATATCCTTGAAAAATATCCATGAATAAAAATATCCATAAAAGATGCCAAAACTATATTATACCACCATCCAGTTACACCAACCAAAAAAGCTACCATTAAATATCCATTCCAGGTCTTTCTGTATTCCTCAAGTACCATTTATTTTTGCCTCTATGCTAGTCAGTCTGTTAGCTGTCACACATTTTACTTTAGGTCAAAAATCATAGAATCACAGACTCATTCAGGTTGGAAAAGACCCTTGGGATCATCAAGTCTAACCATCAGACCTACTCTACAAAGTTCTCCCCTAAATGCTGTGTACTATTTAGAAATAAAAATTACTGCCCTATTTTCTCTCTTTGTATAATAGGCTTTGCTAGTATTTTTAAGTAAATACTTGTATAAAGCTGTCTAATGATTCAGACCCCAAAGCAATACCCACGATGAGCATTAGAACATGTACTAATTCTGTCTTTATTCTCCTTCATTGTCATAAACATCTGTTTCATCAGAAGCTAAACTGTATTATAAAGTCTGTGTTTATATGGAGTCTAGCACAATGTAGATATTCACTGCAGCATGAAATACTATTACAATATAAGCCATACTAATGAACTAGAAGAGAGCTCAGGTATGATAAAAAGAAAATCTCTAATGACCTGCTTTGCTTGTCACTTCTGTGGTTCTTCAGAGAGATAGGCAGTGCTCTGCTCTGCCTGACTGTATAACATTATTTGCGTAAAGAATAGGCCACATCTCAAATGGGACATCTGAGATAGCTACAGTTTGGTTTATATAGCAATGGTCATAGCAGCTCACAAAGATCAAACAAGAATTCATGGCTGGGGTTACAACAGTTTTTGTAAGCAGCCTCCAAACCTGGTATCTCATGCATAGAGGCTTCTAAGTGTGTTTAAAGGGTCTCAGCTGGATGCATTCCTACAGCTGATTAGAAAAAACACACAAAGCAAATGAGATCCAAATGAATTTATGATTTCAAACCTCATCCTCAAGGTACTCAATTGCTAGGACTTACCTACATTAAAGGTCAATGAAAGCTCTGGAATGGAGACCACGACAGTTTGTCTTTTCTGACACAGCTGTCTAAAACACAGCAAAAAATGCCAATGCAGCTGACAGAGCTTTCTGACCAACCTCTGCAGGTGCCCACATGACCCCAGGGACATCACTGGCCACTTCACAAGCCTTGTGACATTTTGCTTGAAGTGTAAAGTTCATTTTTTGACCTTACCTATTTGCTTCAGGACAAACATACAGCAGTGCCAATGTGCACCCACACCCTCCTTCCCTCCCTGCTATGTTCTGAAACAAACTCTTGGACAGAAACAAAAATTGAGGAAAAAAGGCACAACAGATTGGCTAATAAATAAGTAAAATAAGAAAGCAGGCATGTAGGCAAGTACAGACTATTCACAAAATCTATGAGGGCAGCAAAAGATGCCTGCTGTCAAAAATTAGTTAGAAGATGCTAGGCACATGATACAGAAGACATATCCCTGGACCTTCCACTTCTGTATTTGCCCTCCAGCATGAACTGCTAATTTGTGAGCAGATCATACATCTCATGTTGATTCCATTCAGACGGCAAACAATTTTGCAGGGTTTATGTTACATTTTGAGTACTGACATGAACTAATGACTGATTCTTTATTTTTAATTAATAAGGCCAATTGTACATCCCTTTCTGTATAACTCCAAGCAACAACAGCCTTATTAAATATGTGCAAATACGGGATCAGCATGTTATATGATGACTAAGGCAATGATTACACAGTCCTTCATGTTCGATCAGTAAATAATTAGATCATGAGGCAGTACAATTTGATGCAAACCACCACCACATCCCTGTCTACTTAGATGGAAAACAAAATTCAACACTTTTGTGGGTGTCTGCATCTAACGTAGCCACAAAAAAAGCTGATATCCAATCCAGCATGAAGCCAGAGTGGCACAAATAGATTATACCTTGATTTGTCAGTAAAGTCTCCCATTACATTATCCTGTCAAATTCACTTGAATAAGCAGAGCAAGTACCAGCGCTTTGCACCATGTAGCCAACACATTTTGCATCTAACACCAACGACCTCAGAGGCAGATTTACTGTATTATTGCGAGTGTAATACGTTACATTCAAATGCCTGGAAGACTGAATAGCCCATAAGAAGCCATGACAGTCACCTGAGTTAACAAGGTACTGATAAAGTTCAAATTATTTTGGTCAAGGATTTCCCGTCAATTACAAGTAAATTACAAGGAATTACAAGTTGGCTGGAGTTTGCATAAGCACTTGATACGTCAGAGAGGGATCCTGAGCAATTGAGATGTACCTCTGCAGCACTTCTGCAGAGTGTCGGCAAGGCAGGGCTTCTTATTTTGGATGTGAGCAGCATCTTCCACTGCCCCTTCTGGAGGGATGATTTAATTTACAGTTCTGATTATTAAGGGTAGAGGAGGAAGTTCCAGGAATGACAGAAGGGAAACAGTAACTGTTCAATAAACAGAAATAAGACACAATTTTTTTCTGAGGAGTCAACAATCTCCACACAGGGCCCTAACTAATTTTAATGCACAAACAGCAATAGCTGGGTGGCATGACCTCAGCCTAGATCTCTGGCCCAGCTTTCCAGGCAAGCTTCAGATTGGGCCTGAGACCCTAGTTTGCATTTTAGCTGTATGTTAATGTACTTGGGGAGAATTTGATGACACATTGGGCTATGCAAACATAGATTAGGTATTTGGTTACATGATCACTTGCTGTTATTTTCACAGAATGCTGCCAACATAGACACAAATGGCAAACATTTAATGAAGTTACAAGCAACTGAAAACCACCATATTCTAAGAAATGCCTGGCCGACACAGAAATAGGCCACCCAGTTTTCCCATAGCAGGACTGGTGCAAATCTCATCTCCTTGGTTTCACACTCACTTCACTTCAAGGAGTACTGTGCCTTTCATGGCCACTGAACTAATAGGCAAGTTAAATAACCTTTCTTGTTGCTGCACATGTCTAATAAAGACTTATTATGTCAACTTGGCAATTCTATTTTGAGGTTGGAAAACTTCAGTTGCTTAACACCCTGGTGCTGTTTTCTAATTATCCATATCATGAATCATACAGATTGTGGACTCTGCAAATGAAGCCAAATGAAGACAGAAAGCACATACTTTGTTTGAGCAACCATGTCCTCCCCTTTCCAGCTCTACCTTGGATTGCTCTCATGTTGTATCTTTTACTTAACCTTTCTGGTGCAATATAAGACTCTTACTGCATATCTGCTCCACCTGTAAGGCCTGATCCCCAGTTCTGGTTGCTATATAACACATCGCAGATGTGCATAAAAGTTCCTGCTGCTTGAGATGGCTACAGGAAAGCAGGGTTAAAAGAAAAGCTCATGAAAGAGCTCTGCACTTTGCAACCTTTGCTAGATAATTTTCACTCAAGCATTAAGTAAATGTGGTTTCCCATGAGTTCAAAGAAGATATAAGTGGGGCGAAGGTGGCAACAAATTCTGCTGATCTCTAAGAAAGACTTAGTTACCCAGCATGCACTGGGTCACAGCTCACTAAACAGTGACTCTTTTCTCCAAGTTAATACATTTAGGTTTAATTTGGCAGGATAAATAACCTATCAATTACTTCAGCAGCTGTTTTTGAGAACCCTGGAAAGAAAACAACTGCTTCTGAGAGCATCTCCCTTACTCAGTCTGCTCAGCCAGCAGAAAGGGGTGGGTGAGGTTATTAAAATGGCATTACTATAACCTTGCACCTCATCATTAGGTCCCCTTTGCCAGGGAAAGGAGCACAGAAATCCACAGCAGCCTAGCAGCTGGCCGGCACAGCGACAGGAGCCAGTGACCTCAGTAAGCAGACAGCAAAGCACTCACTGCCCCCTCCGCCTGCCCCTCTTTCCACTTCTTTAAACAAATTGATTCAGTAATGATATCACAACAGCATGAAGTGAAAATGCGAAACATTTGCATCACGAAAGACAGAATAGCAGGTACAGTCACCCTGGCCTGCCTGGGAGCCAAGGGATTCCTTTTTTTCCTACCTTGTTCAGCTGCTCCATTTACAGCATCAAACCTGGGCAGCTCCATCATCTCAAGGAGTGCCACCTCACCTGCCAAACAGTTTGGATGCTTTTTGAAATGCTCCATTTGTAGAACGATATGGCTTCAGCCAGAGGAACAGGCATAAAGTCAGGTTTGTATTTCATCTGCCCCACAGCAGGAGCACACAGCCCCCAGACCATACAGGGGGTTCTCATCCCGCTACTTTCTGCTTCTTCGCACTATCCTGGCTACACAAAATTAAAATGGCTGTGCATTAAGATGCATTTGCAATTTCTTTCAGAACTGCATGGAAGGATTTTTTGCAGTTTATCCCAAAGAAGCTGGCCCAAATATGTATACCAGCATAAATAAGCACAGAATCCAACACCTTTACCTGTTTGATAATACAGAGATGTACATGAGAGAAGAATGAGAAGGAGACTTATCTAGAATTTTCTTTCTCTATCAGTATAAGATAAATACACATACATAAACTGTATGTGCCATTTGCTGCCTCCACAGCAATGATGGGTCAGGCGAGGCCTGTGAAACTCATGACAGTCCCTGTGTCCAGAATGCCAGGACACACTTCCAGAACAGGTTCATTCGCACCAATGAATTTATGCGCTATTTTTCATGTGAGTAACAACATACACAGCTTTGAGAACATTCATGCAGATGAATTTTGTGAAGAACAAGTATAAAGCAGCTTAAGCATAACTGGAGAAAATTCACCAACACTTAGAGCGAAAGGTAATGGAACCGCATATATTTACTACATTTACCCTATGCACCTACCTCTAGGACAGTTTTAATATTTTATTATATTTATCTTATTCACGTAGCACTAGGACAGTTGTTATTTCTTACATTTCTTGTCCTTAAGATTTTACCAAGCATTAATTATTTGTAATCATATGCTACATTCATTCATGTTAACCTCTTGTTTTAATACTCCCTTGCTTTCTGCTCCCTTTTCTCTCACTGCTCCATCTTTAATTTAAAAAAAACCCAAACAACTATGAATAAAAAATAAACAAAAAGGGCACAGAATGAGTAGCAAAGAATAAAGAGAAGGAGAGAGAAAGGAGAAAGCTGGATAACAAAGACAACTATTTTTTGTGCTATGTGACAGTGGATCATAAAATGTGTATGAGATTAAATATTTTACAGGTTTTGAAAGAGTTAATTTCTTTCACATGTCTTGAAGGATGACCATATCTGACCAGTGATCTCCCCAGAGGCTTGCTAGACCCTTAACTCATTTCCTACAGGCCATCAAATACAGTAGAGCACACTTAAGTGGGACGCAGTATTCAACAGGAGCACAGAAGATGCTCACAGCTGCAGAAGCTTCTATCAACTGGATTGTTAGGAAATGGCACTTTTTCAGCCTCTTTTGCTTCCTCCCACTCCCACCCTAGCAATTGCATACCATAACAGGCACTACAGTCAGCACTCTGGCAGGCAGCTAAATTCCAGGTTGTTCTTAAATACATGGAAACTAAAGACTTCCATTCTGTACAGCTCTTAGGATTCAAAGGCTATTTCTAATCTAATCTATTTTCTCCTATAGAAGGTTGCCCCATTCTGCACCCTGGGTTGGCTATTTAAGTGAAGAAGAACAGCTTGTTTTGATTTCAGCAGAGGCTATTTATCAAGAATTGTGATTATCACCTTGACTTTTTTAAAAACAACCCAAGAGGTCCTTTCTAACCTCAATAAAAATATCTCCACTAAGCATCTCAAGCTTGCTGCTCTATATTCCCAGCTTTCTTCTCTGCTTAAAGATGTCTTTGTTCAGCCTCTAGATAAAACCGAAATTTGTGCTTTTCTGAGAAGACTGGCAGATGGGTCCACTGAACTTTTCCTGGTGCGAGACAGTAATCTTGATGATTACGTGTATCTATATAAGCAGGGTACACATTCAGCTTTTCAGAACTCCATAAATTCAGTACCTCTCTGGCACTGTTACAAGTGGTTAACAGAAAGAACCACTCACCTGACAGTTCATTTAGGGAACTGTACCAGAATCAAAGTAAACAAACAAATACATAATAAAAAACCCCAACAAACCAAAACCATACCCAAACCAAAAACTAACCTGACTTTTAATTGCTGCATAGCACTAAGACAAGAAGCATATTAAGACATATTCTAATAAGTGCTTCACCATTTTTCCTGTTTTTTTTTAATCTATAATACTCCTGAATAAATCTGGATGTTTTACTCTGCAAATCTTTAACATTTTATACTTCTAAGGAGAGGTTTCTCTATGATACCAAATAGGAGCAACATTAATAACATATTTGTATTGCAGTAGTACTTCAGGACTCTAACCAGGGAGCAGGTGTCACGGTGCTAGGCATCATACAAACATCTCATAAAACTTGCCTGCCATCCAAAATGGATCAAGATAGAGAAGATGAATCATACAAGAATCCAGTTTATTAACTCCTATCACTATGCTGAGCAGAAAATGCTCTTCATTTGCTTCAGTTTATCCGTATAAGGGACATGGCTGTTGAAAAAGATAAGACTGAAGGAAGCACAGGTGTGGGAACGGGACAAGCAAAGGGATATTGAACAGCTGGTAGACAAAGGAGGTGCCAGAGAGGGGCACAGGTGAGTGGAGTGGGGTGGCACAAAAGTGGGACAAGAGTTGAGAAAAGCCCCTTTTACCCAAGGGGTTACTCAAGAGCTGAAACATGGAAAAAACAGTAAAAATAAAGGTTGTAGAACAGCACAACATTCATTAGTTATTCCCCTACTGAGAAGTGTGTAGCTGAGAAAGGAAGAGCCATGCTAGCCTCCCACAATGATCGCTTCGCAACACTGGCTCCTTAAATTTGTCAAATGTGCCAGAAATCACTAAACCAAACGGTACAGCTAGAACCACAACAGAAATAGCTACTGCCTTCTGGGTTGGTAGCACTCAGATAAAAAACGTAATATGATCTTCCCTTGTCTCTGGAAAACACTGTATGGGGCTAACAAATCCAACAGCCTGACAGAAGGGGTCTAAAGCAAAAGATTAGGCAAATTACAATGGAAACCTTTCGACCCTTTAACACAGTTTCTGGCAAGGTTAGTCCTGAAATAATGCAGATTAACTACGAAGTGTAAAAACAATATGAAGGAAAATTTTTGTAGGAAAACCCATTTGCACAGAAAGCTTGACTTTAACCTACTTAACTCCACCTGGAATGTGCATTTTTGATCGACATTCTGGAAGGTTTTTAAACTAACAAGAGCAGTACTCACCATTTCATTTTTCACTGTGATGAAAGTAACAGAGAATAACAGACCCCTCAACTATTTTCCTTGAGTACATGGTTGTTTCTGAAATCCAAGCTGAGTCCATCAGTGTGCACACCCTTAGCAAGGTTACGGTCACGCATGTTCCATCAAACATGTATTTTTTCCCTGAAAGAAGAATGCTACTAGCTGACTGTTAGTCAACAACCTTAGGAGTAGGGCGAAGGATACCATCACTGTATCCATGTTATTGCCTTTTTTTCCTCTTCCAGCAAATAAATGAGAATAGTCAAAATGGTTACAAAAAATATCAGGAAACCTTTTGAGGAGGAAATAATCAGTCCTTGCTGTCCAACTGCAATTACACAAGACAACTCCTATGACAATGTTTTGAAATTTTTGTTGAGGGATTGCTCATGACATTATTTTATTCTCTCAACATAGAGATGTGTCAGAATTTTCCAGTGCTTGCTATTTTTCTAATAACTCTACATTTTTCAATATTTCTAATTTTTCCTAATTTTAAACATATGGTGGGTAGGCAATGGTTGTGGAAGGTTGTTTGTTTACAATTACTTATATGTTTATCGATTTATAATTACATTACATTTATCTGCTACTTTTGAGTTTTATAACATATCATTAATGATGACTAAACATTCTGTCAATCACTTCTCATTTATGGTTAAGCTTAAGTATATCATAGTCAATCATTTTCTGAGTCATCCCTATCTGTTCAAGGATCTGTGCACTTCTCTGGATCAGTCACTTATTAGTATCCCATTATATCCTTAAAGAAATGTTAACATATGACCATAATTGTTTGGAAATTCTGAAAAAGCTTTTTATTCAAAAGGGTCTTCAGCTGCCACTTTTCCCACATCTGGTATATTAATTTTTCCATCTTCAGAAGAATCTTGCCCTGAGAAAAAGTATCACTGGCAAAGCTGCCATGGAAGATATGAGAATAGGACATTTTTTTCTCAGATCATTATGCAGTCAGTCTATGGAAATCACTACTCTCCCCTTCTTTACTGATTCTGCACCCAGTGGTGGTAAGGATCCAAAAATCCTGTCTTAAATTAGCTGGAATGACCTGGCAAAGGGGATACCAAGCAAATGCTCAGCTGATCCCGCCAGAGAAAATTAGGATGTTATCAGGCACCCCAGGAGCGCTCAGGCACCAACTGTGCAGCTGTGCCTGGATAAAACCAAGGGGTCGAAGACTATGGAGACATGTCTTCCTGCACACACCTGCAAGTGTCAAAGGCCACCCAAAAGCTGTGACTGCTGCCAGCTTCTATGTCGTGTCTCCAATAAGAAATGCATGCACATGGACAGTGGCTCCAGCATACGTCCCCAGCAGGGGGGTCACAACCTGGGGAAACACTGGCAACCAGTCTGCAGTGTCCTGGGAGAGCTGTCACCCAGCACCCAGACACTCCTCGGCAGAGGGGAAGACAAGAAAGCAGAAGGCAGGACCATGGGAAACTGATACACCCTCACCCAGAAATCTCAATGATGTACTTACAGAAAACGTACTTTGAGCTCTTTCACAGTTGTCATCTTTTCAGTCCTTACATTTATGGAGAAGCCTTATTCAAGTTATGCACAACTAATTTAGTTGATAACGTCCTTGAGGTTCCTGGCTGGGTTTTAGTAAAATCACGAACTGCACTTAAACAAAGACATCTTTTTCCTCTGTCCTTGAAGTGTTTGGAGCCTGAGTAGCATTTCTGGGTTTTTAACAATTCACACAAAAAAATACTTTTCGCTGTTAAATTTCAAGACGTGAATCTTACACAAGTGCTTTCTGAAGGGAAAGGAGATGACTATTTTAGAAAACAAATTCTGTATTTACAGATCAAGCTATCCAGAAGATTGCCTCTATTTATCTGATGTTTTAGGGCTGCTGTTAGCATCAATTCATCATCTTCTTCAATACACAAGACTTGTTTGCAAAAACTAATCAGGCATGCAAAAGCAAGGCAGGTTATTTCCTTTCATTCACACAAGCTTATGTTCTGTAACAAAGCCATTAGGACACTTAATGCCAAATATGCTCTTCTAATGGCCAATACACACCATATTACAGCAAACTGTCACTTTGACCATTATTTTTTGGGGGAGATTTCAGCTGACCTTGAACTCTGTAAAATTAAGATAGCCCCACTATCATTTCAAAGCCACTATTAATTTTGTTCGTAATAATGATAATATATAAATATTGTCTATACAATGGTGCATTAATATAATCCCCAGCAAGAATGGAAGAAAAATATCTATCGGAAAGACAGGAGTTTAAGACAAAACCCAGGATGTTTGCTGTTTCCTGAAACAGGCTTCCAAAAGCAACCACTGATGAATGTTGCTTTAAAGCGCTAGGTATTTCTCAGAAGTCATTGCACAGATCACATTTACTCTATTTAAAAAAAGCATAGTATTATATATAATCAATATAGCCATAGGTACATACTAATGAACACATCTCTGTAGAAGAAGGCTTATATGTGTGTCACTGCACACAAACTTCAGAAAATAACAACAGGGAAGCTACTAAGCTGAGAAGGAAACATCAAGTACTAAAATGAAACACAAGGAAAAAGATGGAGGTCAAGAGGAAAAATTCTTAGCATACCATAAAAAAAAATATATATATATCTGACCAGGAATTATGTATTTGACAGCGTGCACATCAGGAAAACATGCATCTACTCACAAGTAAGAGTTTGTCTTAGTAAAATTACACAAAGAAAGTTAAAAAACAACCAACAGGTCTTGGGCAGATTAGCACATTATTCATGCTTAGTCTTCCATTCAGCCTCACCAAACTATCCATATTTCAACTAGATCCTTGCTTAATAGTTCATTTTAGCTTTTAGGGAATCTTTAGAGCTTCAATAAAAGTGCCTCAAGTTCCCTCTGCTGAGTGAATACTGGTGCAGCTGCTTGATTACATCATTTTCAGGAATGATCAGCAGGAACTTTCCATGCTACTTAAGGGTGTACTTCTGCTAATTAGTATTGCAGCCCAGAAATAGAGTTTCTCAGTTTTATATGAAAAACATTTCTCTCCATAGAGAATTTTTTATGGTTTGGTAAGTGAAACATGAAAAAAATCTACCTGTCCCATTAAGTGTGTTTTATCTTTACTCTCCAGATTTTTGGCTGTTTTAATTCTTTAAAAGTTAATTTCCGTTCTCTTTTTCTCTGGTGTTCCAATACAGCTCCTCAGCTTGTATCCTCTCGACTCCATAGATGCACAGAACTGTCAGCCACCAGAATATTACTGTACGTGTTCAAACATGCCTTTGTTCATATTTAAGGAATGGAGATATAATTGGAGAGAATGCTTGAAAAAATAGCTGACCACAAGAAGCATGGAATTAGCTTAACTCACAAAAAGCACAAGACAAGGACTCTACAGCAAAGGACCCAAGGGTGCCTCTGGCAGGAAAACTAACCTCGAAGTAGGGAGGGCAGAAATTTTACAGAAGAGATGTCTGAGTTACATTAGGAGTAATGAGACAGTATGTAGAAAAACAGGAAACGACTTTCCCCAGATTTGTCTTTTCTCTTCAATAGCTACACTAAAAATGCATATAGCTATAAAAGAAAGAGGAAAAGAGCCTATATGGAGCAGCAAGACAAGATGTTAGGGAGTCATCTTATTAAATGTTAGACAGCAATGATAAGAAAGCCCATAAAAGGTGAAATTTTAAAGGACTTGAAAAGAGAAAAAAGAGACAGAGAGACTGATGCTAGCTAAGAAAAAAAAACACTAGAAATTTATCTAAGAAATTGGTCGTAAAAGAACTGATTAAAGTGCTCCATGTCTTCTTCCTAATAAATGCAGCCCTAATTACAGCAGCTGAGAGCAGCAGAGCATTTACAACCTCAGAACCAACCCAGCCCACCAAATCTCCCGTAAAACACCCAAACACTCCTATCAGCAAGCTCTCAAATGGAAACACTTCAGAAGCAAACAGTGCAGGCTCTGCTGCTTCATGTGATCCTACAGACCAACTGAAGGACATTTATCACAGCATCCTGAGTCACTGCATCAGAAAGTTTATAAAAACAAACACCTGGCTAAGAAATTCAGGAAAAGATTTTAGAAATAACTATAGGCTTTCAACCTGGTACCATACTCCCATAGGAGTTATGAGTGTGGTTAAAAAAAAACTGGTCAAGGAGCCATCGTGAAGAAATGCATTTGCCAGCTGTTCAGATTGGACAGTCATATGAGTATCTTTTTGTCAAAGTCTCACCACATATCAACTTGAGAACCAAAAAAACAAGAGACTTAAATGGAGGACTCAATAGTTATCCTCTTATACCAGCCAACCTTGTAATTGTCCCTTAACTAGATCCTACTATCAATAATCCTTTTAGTGGGATCAGTTTCACTTTAAACAGCTTATTACCTGAATGAAAAAAGAAGCAAAAATAACTCAAGAACGTTCAGACAACAAAAATTATGCCTCAAAACAATGGCTTTATCTTGATACACAGAGGATGATATTCCTTAAAAATCTTCTCCAGGTGAAATTAATTTTTTTCCATGAAAGAACAGGGCCTAGTGATTCTTTTCAAGAACATAATCTATTTACAGTGGAAATTCACCCCATCTAAGGAATAAATTTTAACTGTTATGATAGCATTATTTAAATAGCATTTTCTGAATTACCCAAGAGTAACCCAGAGTACCCCAAAGAACAGTTGTTACAGTCAACTGTTGGTTTACCCAGAAGTTCATTGACACCATAATAACAAAAGGATAAACAACCTCACATTAAAACTGATAAACAAAAATTGAAGTAAAATGAAATTAATATCTATTACTCAGCTAAGAGATCTCTCATAGAGTTAAGTTTCCATTTCCAGTTAAGTAACACCTGTATATGCTGGTAGCCTGAAAAACACCTGAAATATGTTGCTAGCAATGTCTGCCTATGAACCTTCAGGAGAAAAGCTCTGTTGCACGCTCTGTATCCTGCATCATTAGATCATTTTTCTCCTTGAGCAGTCATTTCATGTTAGGGCAGGTTGCATCTGATAAATTTTAAATTACTACAAACTTCCAAGCTCACCTGAAGAAAAAAAATCCTAACCAACTTTTAATCAGTCCTCCAGTGCTAGCTGATTTCCTTTTCCTCCTTCACAGA